ACTATGGCAGAGGCGTGTGTTAACTCACTCTTTCCCAATCGAGTAGGTAAAAAGGGATGAAATAACTGAAACAGATGCCATGCGTCGCCTACAAGTTTCCTTCCTTGTTTCTGAACTGTAGCTTTTGCCGTCTTCCAGAAATGAAAGCTGAATTGCTAATAGAACCCTAAAGATACGACAACCCAAATCCAAACCTACAAAAGCAAATCTCCTGGGTTAGATACTCTGAACGATGCCAACCAGCTGTTCAGCAGGGGAAGGAGGGGAAATAAATACAGTCTTCTACCCTGAAGGAGGGACGTGAGTGGCGCTGTGGGTTAAACCACAGAGCCTAGGACTTGCCGGTCAGAAGGTTGGCGGTTCGAATCCCTGCAACTGGGTGAGCTCCCGTTGCTCGGTCCCTGCTCCTGCCAACCTAGCAGTTCGAAAGCACGTCAAAGTGCAAGTAGATAAATAGGTACCACTCCGGTGGGAAGGTATGTAAACGGCGTTTCCATGCGCTGCTCTGGTTCTCCAGAAGCGGCTTAGTCATGCTGGCCTCATGACCCAGAAGCTGTACGCCGGCTCCCTGGCCAATAAAATGAGATGAGCACCACAACCCCAGAGTCGGACACGACTGGACCTAATGGTCAGGGGTCCCTTTACCTGTATGTTTACCCTGAACAGCCAATCTCCAGTCAGTGCCCCTCCATCCCTCAACTGCCATCACAGCACCTAAATGGTATCCCTGAACTTAACTGGGGAATGTGAATTTCTCTGTCCTTGGGTGTATCAGTATTCTGCAGACAGGCCACAGGCTCCACAGGCCAGCAGTACAGTTTGCTACCCACAAGGAAATGGAACCTGTGGGCTTTCAGATGTGGCTGGAGTACAACTCCCATCATCCATGCTTGCTGATGTTGGTGGGAAGTAGAGTCCAACAACATCTGCAAGGTCGCTGGTTCCCCGCTGGTCTTCAATAAAGCTGGTGTTGTTTAACAGAATCAGTGTCACCAGTGCGGTGTACATGCGTTCAAGCATGGCTAGGCAATCTGTGGGAGCGCACTGCTGGGACAATCAGATTGGCTCTGCTGGTGCACTGCACAACCCCAAGCTTGCCCCCTTCCCCCTCCTAAGTAACATACCCTCCAACATTCCTCAGATGAAAATTGTGACATTTCTCACTCCACCTCAACTGAACTTCCTCGAAACCCCATTTTTTTTGTCTCCCTCCTCCCCTGCAGAGCATTTCCCATCAGAGGAAGGGTGAATTTGCCACCACAATTACACAAACAGAACACACACACCCTCCACCATCATGAGAAAACCCCTTAATCTCAATCTTATTTTATTTTATTCGTTGGTAGATTAACAAAAAGAAAAACACACTCCAACAAATTTTAGAGAGGGGCAGGATTGGATGTGGACGCACAAAACATATATTTTTAAAAATCAAGACTCCTTGCGCTCTGCTCCACTCCCCCTTTCTCCCTGCCCAGGACAGCCCTGTCCTCTGCCCGCCCCTCAGAGCTGGTGCATCACACAGGACAGGGCCTCGCTGCCTGCAGCCTCTCCTTCTCCTCCTTTCCTGCTCTCCAGCAGTTGCTATGAGCTGCCCAAGGGAGGAAGCAGGCAGTAGCAGCCATGGAGAGGCAACAGAGTGCTCAGGGGCGTAGGAAGGGGGGGGCATAGGGGGCGGGATGCCCCGGGTGCCACTATGGGAGGGGTGAGAAGATGGCCCCTGCTCACGCGGCTGCCCATATGGCCACCACACGCGAGCGGCAGCCCGTACAGACTGCATATGTGCAGCATCCCATACAGTTGCCACATATGCGCAGTCCGTACGGGTTGTCGCTTGCCCTCTTTGAAAAATGTTTGGACACCCCTGGCATAAAGGATGTCTTGTGGCACACGGAGGAAAAAAAGAAAACACTTCCATCCACATTTAAGTGTCATCTAGCTGCTAAAATTATTGCTGAATCCAGCATTTCAGATGCATCCATGTCAAGGGCATCGTTGTTTCTCCATAAAAACAAAGCCCATCAATTTAGTTGTTTGATAAGCCAAACAACAATGACAACAGCATGTTAAATAGGCATGATCTGCTGAATAATGTGGTCTAACTTCTTCAATATAAAGTGTGCACAGTTAATTAGACTGCAATATAGTAGATGAAAAATCACTCTGTTGGCATGCAAATTCGGGGGTTGATCTGCGTAACTTTACAGTGGTACCTCGGGTTACAAACACTTTGGGTTACAGACTCCGCTAACCCGGAAGTAGTACATTGGGTTAAGAATTTTACCTCAGGATGAGAACAGAAATCGCACGGCAGTGGCAGCGGGAGGCCCCATTAGCTAAAGTGGTACCTCAGATTAGAAACAGTTTGAGGTTAAGAAGGGACCCCTGGAACTAATTAAGTTCGTAACCAGAGGTACCACTGTATTATTATTATTATTATTATTATTATTATTATTATTATTATTACAATGAGGGTTTGGTTTGCTAGCAGGCCTCTGAAGTTGCTCCACTATTCTGTTTGTTTTCTCTGCAAAAGTGTTTTGCTGATTTTGCTCACATCACATGAATAACACTGAGTCAGCTTCCCTATTGGAAAGTGTTGCCAATGTAATTAAACCTCCTTATTCAATAAAGGCTCTTTATTAAAAAGCGACACTTTTGGAAAACAAACAAACAGGGAAAATCCTTCCAGCAAAAGACCCCCGCATGTGAATGTGCTGGTGTTCCCCTCCTCCTTTTTCAGCTGCCTTTTTATGGGAGTATGGGAGGCATAACTGAAATACTTTTCACTAATTTGCGATTCACGGCTGGCTTTGAAAAACTTACTCCCCCCTTCAACTAATTGGAAAACGTTAGCACATTTGACAGCTCACATCACGCCCTTGAAGGGCATCTAACTTCCATTGATATTCATAGTTGAGGCTTAAACCAGTAGCTGGCAATATTCCCAAGTTGTTTCCCTTCAGAGAAAAAGTGGGGCACTTAAAATATCTCAGGTAGCAATCAGCAGTTTGAGAACTGACAGCACTGTGTGCCCTGCAAATGGATGTTTGTGCGAGTGCGGCTTTGGCTGTTCTGCAGGAAGGGTGAGAGAGCAATTGCACTTCCCTCTTAAAACTTCTGGGCCACGTCTACAGAGAGAGAGAGGAGATATATGTCTTATCAATGCCGTGAGTGCCAGAAGCCCTATCATCAACATCATCAACATCATCGATTTATTAATCACCTTCTAAACAAGCGATGCTCAAAGCGATGTACACTACAGATCATTAAAAGCAGCTCAAAACAAAAACAGCAAATACATATAAAACACAACTAAAACCGAAATAGACACTCTGTCAGGGCTGGAGTCACACGCAGGTCAGCAGATCTCTGTTGACAGTGAAGTTAACTCTTTATTCAACATCCAGGTTGTAATATTATAGAAGCTACAAGGCAAAAAAATGCCCCTTACTCAATACTGGTTGCCATGGGGCATTTAGGAAAACATACATTCATAGACTTACAAGAAGGTTCATATCAACTCACCGTGGCTGCCGCTTCCACCTCAGTGCTTTCAGTTATTTCTTCAGGCCATACATTAAATCCCTTAGTTTCTGTGAAGAAATATATATTTTTAAATATAAAAAATTGTTCTATTCATAGGCCATTAAAAAACCAAACAGAAATCAGCAGTGCAACAACAGAAATCAGTAGTACATATTAAAAACAAGCAGAATGAGTAATATTAGCAGAAATGTTGGGCTGATCCAAAAATTATGGTGGCCTGTCTAGATCCAAAGCATCATACTAGTTTTGTACAGCCATGGTAGCTTTAGACTTGCAGTTTCTCAAAGTGCAGCAGTTGCAAATCTACATGAAGCTCTTTTTTTTTTTTTAAGGGAGGAGAGTTTCAAAACCAGGTTAGTCATGTGGTATGCATGGGACACAGCTGTGCAAAAGAAAAAGGATAAAAACTGCATGGGGTTCCTGCTTGTTCTTATGGATATATAATTAGAAAAGGACTATGGAACTTTGTTTCAATATATGTTTACGGCAGCGAGACTATTGTATGCAGAAAGATGGAGAGACTCACGATTACCAACAATGGAAGAATGGTTGTTAAAATGGACAGACTGCACTGTTTGAAACATGGCAACCCTAACATATGGATTTGGGGACTGAAGATAATGTTGGTTTATAGAAAATGATTTTGTTGGGTGTTATATTGCGGCAGATGAAGTGACTATTGTTTATATATAGCGAACAGATGAAGAATGGGAAGTTCTTTAATTTCTGTATTTTTTCTTTTCCAGTCTCTCTTTTAAATTCTTTTCTCCTCCTTCCCTTTTCTTTTCCTCTTTTCCTCCATGTTTTTATTATATTTAACGTTGGATAAAAATATATATTTGGTATTAAGTTTTGCATCTCTCTTTATAAATTCTAATGGAACTTATTCCAGAAAATAAAATAAAATAGCCAAACATATGGCCTTTATTTCATTCATCACAACTCTTATTTGTCCTATTTTCAATTGCGGTTTGGAGGGTCTGGCATTAAAAGGCTTACAAAAACCTTTGTAAGCTTTTTATAATTTGTAATGGACATTTTAAGGGAAAATAAGGAAGTATATAAAATTTAAAGTTAGTAGAAGCACGTAAACAAACAAACACCTGTACCATGGACCATAGAATCAGAAATCTAAACAGATTAATTTCAAAAATTGCAGGCTGAATGAGCACCAGCGCATGTTACTGATGTCAATTTCAGCTCTCTTTTCATCCGGCCACATTGCAGGGAAATTAAATGAGGCGTAGCTCCTGTAGGGCAGCTCAATCAGCACTGGCTAGCTGGGGAGCTTTTGATGCTCACTAGCTTCCCTTACGTTGAGCACACTGCTGACTTACTTGTTTCATTTGATTCACTGTTGATTTCAGCCCTGAATAGTGCTTTGGATGGCTGATGGGGCAGCAACAATCAGAGAGAAGGGACAACAGAATAGAAACAGAGTTGAGGTAGTAGCAGCTCAGTTGGCAGAGTGGGAGACTGCTGATCTCAGGGTTGGGGGTTCAAGCCCCATGTTGGGCAAAAAGATTCCTGCATCGCAGGGGGTTGGACTAGATGACCCTGGTGGTCCCTTCCAACTCTACCATTCTATGATTCTATCTCTTCAAATGCAAAGCAGACATCCAAAGAGAGGGCAAGGAGCCTGCTAGTTAAGACTGAGGACTGGCCAGATCTGACTCCCATGCTTACAACCCCCTCCCTTTATTAATCACATATGAGGGTCAACATTAGATTTATTGGATTTTTTAAAAATATGGAATTTGTAACACTATTGTTGATAATACAAGGATAGTATTGGGGGGCGGGCTGATATTTTCCTGAAGCACATCCCTCAAATCACTTGGGAGGGATGATTTTTATTATTTAAAAAGACAAAGGACAACACCTTCTCCACATCAATATAAGGCAGCAACTGTGTCATTTAAGGGCAATTTTAAACACGTGGGGATCATTCACTACCCAAATACCTTGGGCAAGTTGATTTTCACCTCCTCATTCACCTTAATTGGGTCCTAATTCTCTCCAAGGTCATTTTAATCAAACGTTGAAAGTGTGTTTGTCTTCAAACGCCATCAAACAATCCTTTACTGGGTAGGATTATATACTGCTGGTGAAGCACAGTGGGAAAGTTTTATTTATACTCCTTTGGGGTCAATTGTTACATCCAAGGGATGGGAGAGCTAAGCCAAATAGGCACAAGAGCTTGATCCTAAGATGTGAGCTTTTAAGACCTGGCATCTATTTCAGTGCCAAAGCTCAACAATACCACATAGGAACTAAGAGTAGATTGAGATGCCTCTGAGCAGGTGCAGAGTGTATTTCCCTCGCCACTGAGTAACACCAAACATAATTTATCCTAAGAGCAAATGGACGCAAGCCTGTGACACATCAGACCCTATGATTTTTATGTATGTGTGGACAACACCACTTATACCAATAAATGTTGAAAAGGTGTGTTTGCTGATGAGTATTCAGATATTTCAGCTGGACTGGAATGCAATCATGTTGTTCTCATCATATGTACTCCAGACACTCCACAGGACACGCTCAAGAAGAATCATACCCTCCAACATTTCTCTGATGAAAATAGGGAGGGTCCTATTCAACAACAACAACAACAATTTTATTATTTGTTCCCCACCCATCTGACTGGGTTGCTCTAGCCACTCTGGCCAGCTTCCGACATATATAAAAACATCATAAAACGTTATAAACATAAAAAACTCCCCTATGCAGGGATGTCTTTAGATGTCTTCAAAAAGTTATTTATCTCCTTGGCTTGGGGGTTGCATGGTGCCATACCCTCTACCATTTCTCCGATAAAAATAGGGGCGTCCTAAGGAAAAGTGGGACATTCTGGGATCAAATCAGAAACCGGAACAGCTTCTGTAAATCCGGGACTGTCCCTGGAAAATAGGGACACTTGGAGGGTCTGATGAGATCTTCCCAAAGGCTCAATCATCAGTTACCTTTATGATATCAAAGAATTCATCAGAAGACTTTTGTGTAAGGAGTTAACTTATTAAAAAGAAATCCAGCAGCTTTGTCACTTTAGATATTGGTTTATAAGCTAAACCAAGCGATGTGGAGTGATCAGAGAGTGCAAGCCCTTTACCATGCCTAGTCTAGGTAAAGGTAAAGGACCCCTGGATGGTTAAGTCCAGTCAAAGGCAACTATGGGATTGCGGCGCTCATCTCACTTTTCAGGCCAAGGGAGCCGGTGTTTGTCTACAGACAGCTTTCTGGGCCATGTGGCCAGCATGACTAAACCGCTTCTGGTGCAACGGAACACCGTGACAGAAAACCAGAGTGCACGTAAACACCGTTTACCTTCCCACCGCAGCGGTACCTATTTATCTACTTGCACTGGTGTGCTTTCGTACTGCTAGGCTGGCAGGAGCTGGGGCAGAGCAACAGGAGCTCACCCCATCACAGGGATTCGAACCGCCAACCTTCCGATTGGCAAGCCCAAGAGGCTCAGTGATTTAGACCACAGTGCCACCCACATCCCTAGTTTACTGCAGAAAGCACCTAGCAATGGAGGAACATCTAGGTTGAAGGTAACTCTCTACTTCCTGCCTCACATCATGGTCACAAGGGCTTCCTTTTTTAACACTACAGACACCATTATTATAGCGTCTGCATTGACCCGCAACTCACTTCAGAGCCAAGTACTGGAATTTACTTTTAATACCCTGAACCAGGGAGGGGGGAACTGTGACCCTCCAGATGTTGGACTCCAGCAAGCACAGCCAATAGCCAGAGGTGATAATCCAACAATGGAGGGCTACAGGTTCCCCATCCTTGCCCTAAGTAACCTGCAACCTGAATATACTACTGCTGCTAACTTCATTATTTATACCTTGCCCATCTGGCTGGGTTTCCACAGCCACACTGGGCATCTTCCAGCAAAATATAAAAACATCAAACATTAAAAACTTCCCTAAACAGGGCTGCCTTCAGATGTCTCCTAAAAGTAGCGTAGTTCTTTCTCTCCTTGACATCTGATAATAAATAATAATAATAATAATTTATTATTTATACTCCGCCCATCTGGCTGAGTTTCCCCAGCCACTCTGGGCGGCTTCCAATCAAGTGTTAAAAACAGTACAACGTTACATATTAAAAATTCCCTGAACAGGGCTGCCTTAAGATGTCTTCTGAATGTCAGGTAGCTGATGGGAGGGTATTCCACAAGGAGGGCGCAAATGCCAAGAAGACCCTCTGCCTGGTTCCCTGTAACCTCACTTCTCACAGTGAGGGAACTGCCAGAAGACCCTCGGAAGTGGACCTCAGTGTCCGGGCTGAATGATGGGGGTGGAGATGCTTCTTCAGGTATATTGGATCGAGGCCATTTAGGGCTTCAAAAGTCAGCACCAACACTTTGAATTGTGCTCGGAAACGTACTGGGAGCCAGTGATGATCCTTTAGGACTGGTGTTACATGGTCCCGGCAGCCACTCCCAGCCACCAGTCTAGCTGCCGCATTCTGGATTAGTTGTAGTTTCCGAGTCACTTTCAAAGATAGCCCAACGTAGAGTGCATTTTGATAGTCCAATGTTTATCTCTTCCCTTAAGACCCCACATACATGCTTAGATCTTCAAAGTTTCCTACCACTGGTTGAGATACAGCAAGTTGCTCCATGGGGCATGGCTTTCTTACTGGTTGTCCCTCAGCTGGCTGGAATTATTTGTCATGGGAGTGTCCATTGGGCACATGGGCGGAATATAAATAATAAAACTATTCTTAATTACTATTACTTAACACATGAAATGCCACTGGTGCCATGCGCTCATGAAGATGACTTAGGCAAGCCTCTCTCTCCCATAGCCTCCCCTTGATTCAGTCTCTGAACCCTCACACAGAGTTGCTGCAAGGTTCCCTGAGAAAACAAGTGTGAAATGCTTTGAACACTCAGAAGCACTATGTGACTAATAATAAGATTATTATTTTTTAAATGCTTTGGGGTCTAACCAGGCACCTAATGACATCACACCATCAAATATTCTGTGACTGTAAAATGAAATGTGCTTCTACTCCATTGATAATACAACAGCATTACCTGCTATATTTATTGGCCAGAGATATTGATTGCAGCTGTTGCTCCAGTGAGAGCTACTGACAACAGCAATTGAGATAATCTGCACACTATAGAGTTGCTTATTCTTTCTGAAGGCGTTGCAAGTGGAGGAAAAGAAAAGAAAGAGAAGTTGCCAGGGAAACCCTTTTGAAGTATTTCTGTGGCTTGAAAATACCCTCTGAAAGGATCCCTGCATTCATGGCGCTGAGTATCTTTTGAAAACCTGCCTCTTCAGTTCATCAAGTGGCCACAAAGGGCCACGATAACGGTTGCTTCCTTTTATTTCAAAGCCATTATGTGTTAGCGTGTTTTAGCAATGAGATCTCGTGCACAGAAGATCTATTTTTCTTCTTTCAGCAACTACAGAACAGACCAAGCGGATTAGGTGACTAGCAAAATGACTGCCGTGTGAGGACGAGAGTTGCATGTATGTGTCATAAGGACACAGGAAGCGATTTAGACCGAGTCCAACCATTGCTCCATCTAACTCAGGGTCGTTGACAATGATTAGAAGTCACTTTTCAGGGTTTCATCCCAGGTCTACCTGGAAATGCCTTACCGTGCTAGAGCTATGGTCTTCACCAATGACGGGCCTATACATTGCAGGGACTGCTGGCAGTGGGGACAATTTTTGCATGTATACCCCAACAAGGGGGTATGGCAGGGGGTTGGACTCAATGGCCCTTGTGGTCTCTTCTAACTCTATGATTCTATGATTCTAATGTTCAGCTTTCTTTCTTTCTTTTTTTAAGGGCAACATGGGCACAGCCTCAGATGTTGAATTAAAATGGGGAATCAGATTTGGCACTAGCATGCAGCATACCTGAGCAGGTGTTGCAGCTCTGGAACCCGCCAGGTGCTGCTGTCCAGCTCGGACTCCGAGGGAGGCACAAAACCCCACAAATTGCTCCCTGCTCCCCTTGGATCACCCTGTGGCCTTGCTACCCCTTCCACAGACCTTGATGGGGCCCAACACTAATGACATCGGGCCTCCAAACCCCTTTATTTTTTGAAGGCCTGCAACACTGATACGAGCACTGCAGCCCCCAACACAGCCAAAATCCTACCTTCCCCACAATGATGTGCTGCCATGAAAGCCCAGGCTCCTGTCAGGATAGGACCATCTGCCCGAAAGCGGCAACAGTACTGAAAGGACTGCCAAGTTGGTGAAAACAGACTCACTGACACAGCAGCCATTTAAATTTCCCCACAAGGGAGAAGTTCATGGTGAGTTCCAGCAACTCCTTGTCTAGAAAAATAGCATGGATTATTTCGATTTATATACCACCCTTTGTCCAAAGATCCCAGCATAGCTGTCAACTTACAGATTTGAAAATAAGGGACCAGCAGCCTCGAAAATAAGGGATCAGCAGCCAAAATAAGGGATTTTAGTCAACCAGCAGCCAAATGAAGCCTCAAGTGGTGGTTCCCACAGCGCAGC